AGGGGAAGAAATGAAGAAAGGGTTTCTAGTGTTATTTTTTGCCATCCGTTTATGTAGGAGCCAATTATAAAATATCAAACCTAAAATAAAGAGGGGCAGCGTATCTTTATCCAGCTGCTGAAGTTTCTCCATCGTCAACTTCCCTTACCTATGCAGCAATATACCTTCATCACCTGCATACGGGGTTTATATCTCTCAGTTGATTCGATATGCAAGAGCATGCTCTACGTACAACAATTTCTAGAACGAGGAAAATTATTGACAAACAAGTTGATGAAACAAGAATATCAGCAGTCTCGTTTAAAGTCATCATTTCGTAAGTTTTATGGTCGATACAATGACCTTGTCAGCAAATACAATTTATCATTGAATCAAATGCTGACCGACGTTTTTCATACTAATTGTTAGGCCATTATTTACACACTGAATTGTCGACGGATTTTTCCGTTATTTCCCGATCAAGACAAGGAGCACACGGCGGGTGAAACCGGTCGGCAGGGGATGCTCACTCCTTCATGACACCTGATCTAACCTCTGATGTTTTGGAGGTCCGTGTTTGCTCTGCTCCTTTTTTTGTAATGTTTAATGGACTTTTGAGCTTGAATACTGTTCGTTATCTCCATATATTTCATGGATAAAGTTTTTTTTTACAAGTATATTTTAAATATACATGTATAAAACAAAAATGTTCAGATTCTTACAACATTTCGTTCCTAGTAGATTTTTTTAAATATTAGATGATAAGCCACCTTTAACAAGGAAATTAAACAGAATATGATAATTATGGAGGTAATGATTAGCAATCATGCTTAAAAGTCCAATTAAGAGATATAAATTGAAAGTACAGCAAACACAGAATCGTGAAAACTTGAAGAGGTATAGGCGCCATAGAAGATAGCATCCCTTGTAGACCGATCACACTCTTTTTTTCTTCACAGAATTTATTTGCCTAATTCAGTAGCATTTCTTGGGTAAGGAACTGTTTGTACGTAGAACATGATCTTGCATATTAACAGTAATGCAAATTAAACATTGGTGTCTGTGATAATAATTTTCAACAGAAATTTCTCTTTTCTCGTTTTTAGGGCTGACAATCTTGCCTTACCCTCAAAATCTCTAAAATACAGGTCTTAGCAGCTACTGTGATGACAAAACCAACTTTTGTAGAAGTTTCTTTGAAATCAACCTTATAGACTTTTTTGTCATGAATTCTTAGTTTGTTTTTATTTAAGTTGGTCTGACATATGAACTTTACTGTTTACATAAATTGTTGTCTTTGAAAGATTCTTGTCCCGACGAACGTCAAACCTACATTGCTTAACATAGGTAGTGACAGATGCTTTGCCAAGCGCAGTTATGGGTATTTCAGATGAGACCTGTACAACTGAGGTCCCCTGTCCCGATAGGCGTTACCTCGATTTCAAAGATCCTTTACTGCTTTTTGGCCCTGAGTGTGAAGTAATTTAAAAGGTTAAAATTCACCAGTATATGGTGACGAAGATATCCAAATCTATTACCCCCCTCACGTATACTTCCTTCTGTCACCAGAGGGCAAAATAACCCACTAATAGAGAACAAACACTGAAATTAGTGGATATGAGTGAAAATTTCTCGCAAGGGACAGGAAACAACAAACAATTAATTGATTAATAAATCTCAAGTTTTTGTAGATATTTTAACCTTAATTGAATCTGTTTACTTTTTATTTCTAGGAATAAACACGGTTCTTGGTAACAAGAGAGATTTTAACCTAAGATATTCAAGTGAACGTCCAGCAACGTCATTATTCGAAGGTATTTTTCTAAGCATAATTAAATCTACGATAATGATTGTTTTAAAATTATTTAGTAAAATTTTTTAATAATTGTTTTATATCAGACATACTTGCTGTAAAGTACTTCGGACACTGGTAAGGATATGAACTAATACTAATTTAAAGTACCATTTCAAAAAAAAAATAAAAAGTGATAACTATTTAATTGCACAGAATTTGTGACCACTGCGAGATTACTGGGTGTTGCAAAATTTACTAGTTCTCTCAGGGCTCTTCCAACGGTCGCCCAACCATCACCTTGATCTCTCAGTAATCTCCTAGAGGTCTCCACAGTAACAAGTTTGATAATACCTTAAAGTCTCTCAATAATTGCAATCTCTCAAAGAACACTCGGGGATCGCCCAAAAGAGCACAGAAGGATCGCCAAACAATCTCTTAGATCTCCTTATGATCTCTCGGATGCCTTTTCATATAGCGCAAAATGTTTTAAAGACCCATAAGATAGTGATGCGTGGGGACCAGAGCTTACCTGTACTGCATCAGAAGTCTGTTGGAGATAAACGTCTGCTTGAGAGAAAATTGAAGAATCCTGGAGAGATTGTTGAGACCAATGTGAGATCTGAAAAGAATATCAAGGCTGTGTTTAATTTTTTACCACAAGACAAGCGAATAATGATTTCCATAAGATTTACTCTGAAATCGCTGAGAGACCAGGCAAGTTTAAACTCACCCAAGGTGTCTCAACGATCTCCTTGTGCGTAAAGGCCCTTTAGCGAGTGTTTTCTAATGCAAATTTCTAAATAGAAAACATTTTCGAAGCAATTATGTTTCATACCCATATTCAAAATAAGGGAATTGCACGCTTGTTTACTGAATTATACATGTACTTTCCTTATTTCTTAGTCCATTCAAAAATCAAGAGGTTAGTTACACGCAATGAAGGATCATATTTGCCAGAAATGCGCGAATAGGCCTGTTTCAGAGAAGATTGAGAATTTGTCAAGGCTGCACTGCAACTTAGTTATTTAAATTTAGTTCATAAATTGTTAAAGAGGAGGATCTGATCAACCCTCATTCAAGAATTTCATCGACATAAAACAAAGTTTGAAATACATCTCCCCTTTACCATGTCTGTATCTAGATCTGTCAGGACTTTCGAGCAGATGTATGAGTGCAGTGAATATACATACAATGTATATATGCAATAATTACATGAAGTTATAAACTTTATTAAATATTAAGGTGATCATATAGGCTTTTTTAGTATTTGTTTAAGTAGAAAAAGATATATTTACTGGAAATAACAGATTAATTTTGCACTTATCATTCAGCACTCGTGTGCTGTATGTATTTCCCTCGGCCATTATTGTTCTTAAATATACCAAACAGTGTTCTTGGTAAATATAAATGCTTTATGAAAATCTGTATGTTAAGATTTTCATTAATTTATTCATAATGATTTTTAAAAAAAAATTCATTTATTTATTCATTTATATATTTTCAATTTAAAAGAAAAAAAAGTAGTTGGTGGTAGAAACGATTCCATTCGGAAGAAATCAAGAACCAGATTTTCATTCAATGGTACAGTACTTTTTAAGCTTCAATAATTAAGATCAGTCGTTTGCTTCTTAATTTTTCCTGTGTGAAAAAGGAAAGGTAATATAATGAACATGCAGTCTCTATTGAACTATTTCTAACCATGATGGATATAGAGACTTAAACTTGAAGAGAAAAAAAACTTCATGAAAATTCGTGAAGAATTGAGAATATTTGTTAACTACATGAATCGTTTACCTTAATTGGCTTTCTGTGTTAAAGTTGTAAATCAGTCAATACTGGTTTTGAACCAGGTACCATTTAAGACGTGTTTATCATATAATTTGATTCTAATCACGTCTTAATTTTTGTGCCAACAAGAGACAATTTTTAGCCATACCTTGTCCTTAAATATGCACAACTTTCATATCATAATATGATCCAGTCAATTAACACAGCTTAATTTAATTTTTGACATTAAGTAGATTTATACATGTATATGGAAATATACTCATAATGCTTAAACATCATAGTTGGGTTTTTGTTATTCTGTATCCTTCAGCACAAGATGTATAATTTAAAAAAGGTTATTTTTATAGACGTACATAAATTCAATTTATCCCCAATTCAGTGAATATGTTGTCAGTTCTTTAAGGGCATTCATTTTTATTAAGTTTAAAATATAGAATGTTCTACATCCCTGAATGAAAATCTATCTGTTTTCACTTTAGCTATATCGTTTTAAGGGGATCATTTTTGGATTTCAGATCTATCAACAAGAGGTTTGCATTGTAATTATACCAACCAGCAAGATCTAGTAGACACATTTTGTGAAGAATTGTTTGTTACAAATCAAAATAAGTGTACTTTAGAAAAAATGGCTGATTGTTCACCATTCGGTGAGTATAACTTTGTTACTTCAACTTTTTGGCCTTCTTTAATAAATTTACACATATACATTTTCTTATTATATAGCTGCTTTGCATTGCAAGTCTAGGCAGAACCATATTGCTTGTATGTAAACTCATAGCATGTGTTTGAAATTCATCTTTTCGGCTGATGTAAGATCAATTGACCAAAGATGAACATAAACTACACAGTCATATTATTGATGAAGCTAATAATTCAACTGGGCAAGCTTCTTTTGAAACCTAAAAATAAAATGTAACTATTAATCAATATGACAATGATACTTTAGACCGAAAGAATCTTCTTTTCTTTTTTATATGTTCGACATTTGCTTGGATTTTTAAAATTCAATTTAGGTGATTGCCTAAAATTTACCCCGAAAGGAACCACTTGCTTCCGACCTATCTTCAACACAACTATATTAAACACTGTTACAGTGAATGAGACAGTATCATGCAATGTAAGTCTTCATATTACGTAATTCTTTTGTATGTCTAAAATGGTTAAGCATGAAAAATTATAAATTTGAGTAAGTATGGTAAATCATACATTTGAGATACAACAAAATGCTTTTAAAAATGTGAATGCACGTATCTAACATAGAAATAAGTACAGATTTTGTTATTTCCAAGAAATCATATATTGGTTCCTTTAAAAACTATATATTTCTCTAGCTGTATTTTGATTGAATGTGAACATTACCTTGGCTGAAGACACCATCTTTTACAACCATACAGGTAACGTTAGTTGTAGAGTTCCCTACAGTTATAACACCCGTCACTGTAAAAATGGTAGTTGTTGACGCCGAAGATAAACAAACAATAAACGAAAAGACTTTTAGAGTAAATGATCCCCCGACTGGTAAAAGAGAGGTGTTAGAACTGGACATTGAAAGCTTTCCGCCTGACATTAAAATGTATGTAAATTTAATCCTTTTTTTTCATTTTCTTTTCTTTTTTAAAATTAAAATTAAAATCAATAGGCAATGATCATTACTGACAGATGTCATTCAATTTTCTAGGTATTACGTTTTCCTGCAGTTTAGAGCGTTCGTAGAAAATTCGCGTATTTATGCATTTTCTCTCTCCCCTGGCTGTTTCCACAGAGGTATATATTCACAAAAGCATGTTTTTTTATGTAATATAAATGAAAAACCAATTTGTTTTTATGTGAAGATGAGGGCGCGCGTGTGTGTGAATGTTGTTTTTGCAATAAATTAAAACGAGTTCCTTGGATATTCTTAAGTAGATCGGTACACAAGGTGGCGATCTACTATTATCAAATTGTGCCATTTTTAAAATAAGAAGTGGGGGAAAACATTTCAAAACATCGACATACAGATTTGCAATATAAGCGCAATAAAAGGACAGAAGAAAATATGATTTACGTGATAATTTTTTTTTTTTTGGAGTTAGATTGCTTAAAATCATATCTCTCATTCCAGTGCTATTAAGGACAGACGATACGTTCCTCAATAATATATAATTTTTTCTAAGATTTTGTCATTGAAGTATTGCTACTTTAACATGTTTACTCGCAAAAAATTAAGGTACCTTACCAGGCATTTGTGCAAGATACAAGAGGATGTTTTACCTATAAAATCCTTTTGGAAAAAACTTGATTAGCCAATAACACATTTTTTAGCGTTTCAATTTTTTAAAGACAATTTGAAACCAGTTTAGAAATCAGAAGGCAATTAAAATTTTGAATATTTTCCACACAATACCAAGATATACAAAACAGATATTTGAGGAACGTATCGTCTGACCTTAATTGATGAAAAACATTTTAGTTTAAAAAAACATTTCCCTTGAACGTCGAACGATACATAAAATACTTTTAGTACAATTTTGTTGATAATGAGCACCATACGTCTTATTTGGATGTTTTTGCATGCTTCTGCATCTGTTAAAACGTAGTTGTCAAATATCCTTTAAAACGAACGTAGAATACATGAATGTGTATGGAGTCTGCATAACATATCATTTTAGACTGTAATTAACAAACATGTTTTGGAAATTGTCTCAGTTTCTTACAAATATACATGTGCGAATGCTTATAATTATGACGTAAACTGTACTAAATGCCTTCAAAAATGTAGGATTAAAATTCCATTCTTATGTTATTTCTAGTTCCAGTTTTAGATATGGACCGATTCAAAGAAACCAACTCTATCCTAGCTCTAGTTTTACTTAGTGCTTTCGTGGCAATAGCAGTTATTCTACTAGGTAAGGCACACCCATAACTACATTTTTCTGTGGTAAAATGAATAATTATGAAACAAGACGACTCAAATGTCAATGATCTCGTGACCACTTTATGTACAAACTCTATGGATACACATGCAGAAAGTTTTAAAGGATAAAAGTAAGTGGAAGAACTCTCTATTCATTCCGTTTCATTTCATACTTCTAGTAAGACTTACTAGGAAGGATCTGCTCTCAAATAAATATTGTGATAAAAAATTACAAATTTACAATACTAATACTACTTTTTTTAAAAATCTTTATTTGAAGAAATTAATGTAAAAGAACTATTCATTTCGACATTGTGAATTTTATTTCAAATACCTCTTCAGATAGAAATTGAAATTATGTAGAGGTCAAGCAGTAAAAATGAAAGTGCTGTTTGACTTGCATTATTATGAGCTTCAGTTTTATCAGTCTGTGTATGCTTTCAAAATTAGATTCGTAAATATAGTTTTTTCTAATTTATCAAAATCTAAGGAGATGCACATACATCTGTATTAAAAGTTTATAGATATTCTGAAAATTTCAAATGTTTGTGAATACTAAACGGGATAAATAAAAACAATCTGAACCTAACAACAAAATTGTACGATAAACTGATGACTTCGACTTTTCTATCGTCAATTTCCCTTATTTATATAGCAATATACCATTATCACCTGCAAATGGAGTTTATGTCTCTCAATTAATTCCATAAGCAAGAGCGTGCTCAACATACGAACATTTTCTTAAAAACGAGGCAAGCTATTGACAAATAAGTTGATGAAGCAAAAATATCAACAGTCTTATTTAAAGTTAACATTTCGCAAATTGTATGGTCGATACAATGACCCTATCAGCAAATACATCTATCATTAAGTCGAATGTTGACTGACGTTTTCATACAAATTTTTAGGCAATTATTTTCATTGAATTATCTATGGAGTTTTCCGTTTGCCAATCATGACAAGGAGCACATGGCGGAAGTGAGCTGTCGGCAGGGAATGCTTACTCCTCGATGGCAACTGATCCCATCCCTGATGTATTATAGGTCCCTGTTTACTCCATTTATTCCCACCTGGCCAAAATTTTGAATTTCTTATTCCATCTAGCCAAAATTGGGATTTTCACACCTGGGTGGTCACCTGTGTATAGTCTGTTTTAGGCTTATTACCTGTAATTGTCACCTTCGTTGTGCAAGTTCATTATCAAAATATCTATCAATAATATTTCTTTTATTAGATATTAATGGACCAGGTTCAATTAAATGTATTTGGATTATTACTTTACTGATACGACTAATAGAGGAAAGCAATGAAAAGAAAAAAGTATTTAATTCATTTTGCAGAAATACAAGTAATAAAAACTGTTAAAAATGTATGATATAAAGATAGAAAGTGGCTGTGATTTTATACTTACATGTACACGCATTTATAAGTAATTTCTTTCACACATTATTAGACTTAGTATTCTATTATACATCTTTATATCTGATAAGAATTGGACATATTTTATGGACAAAAAGTCAAAAGGATTAGACACAACTAAGAAAATATTCTCTAATTCAATGCAACATTTTTTATAGTTGTTATAATATATAATTTGATTTTTATAGTTAACTTGGAAAACATTGGTTGTTTAAAAAAAATTAGATTTAATTCATTAGAGAATTTAATACTGTTGCTTATTTTTCAAACAGAATGATCTGATTTAAGCATAATTTATTAGTAGTATATTTTCATTTGTTTATATATCATTGTTATCAGTCATCTTATTCCATTCTTTTTGCAGATAAGGCGATATTTTGTTTTAATTAATACATGTGTAGTATTATTCTCATTTCCATTTTACTGCATGATAACGGGACAGAGATTTAAGATTTCAAATCAGTTACTTACTTTTACTTTACATGTATTTTCAAATATCTGTGGTGCATAGTTTAATACATGTAGAACTGGCACTAAAAATTTTAATAAATGAAAAGATTATCGAATCATTAAGAGTATGAAAATGAATAAAATAATTTTTTCAGAAAAGGAAAACAAATCAGTAAAAATGCTTATCATATACCATGATTTGTAAAAAGAAAGATTTTATCATAAAATCAATACTAATGAAAATGAAATACTTTAAAATATAGAATAAAAAACCTAACACTAATTAATTTAAAAAATATATTTATTTCATTTCCATCAGTAATCTAGAACAGACTATAGGTCACCTGTAATTAATTTCTTTTGTTCTCTCCCTCCCCTTACCTATACACCATCCCCACCTAGCCAAAACTGTCACCTGACAGGTACAATTTCAGAATTTTGGCTAAATGAGAAGACATATTTATTCTAGTCTAAATTTGTATTGTTTCAATGGACTTTTGAGCTTACGAGGGGTGATCAAAAAGTTCGCGAACTAATTGAATTGCTTTCATAAAAGAAATAAAATTAGGTTTCAGTGTTCATTATTTTTTAAAGTAGTCCTCTCCGATTTTAATGCCCATCTGCCACCGTTCTGTCCATGAGCGAATCACGTGATCCAGGCGGTCACGTGACATGCTCCGTAGCGTTCTGTAAACAGAAGTTTAAAGATTTTTCCGAGTCTTATATTTCTTAACATGAAAGTTAATTTTTAAAACAAGAACAGTCCATTTGTCAGAAATGGCTAAATCTCGGCAATAGGATGGGTGGATAAGGATATCCTTTCCCAGAATGAGCATGGTGACCATCAAAACCCGAGTCCTCTGTCTTTGGAGCGTCATTTATCCAATGTGAATAAAGCATGGGCGCCTTCTTTATATCATATCCGATATGTTTAAAGTCTGAAGTTAACGATATTTAAGGGATTTGATAATTATATTATTGTTAAGATATTCAACTATTTTTCTAACTGTAACTTGGCGATCTTTCATAACAAATTGCTCAACTAAGGATACATCTCTTCCCCAGCTTGCTTGAACTGGGCAACAGAACAAACCTCATTTTTAACCATCTCCCTTCCTTCACTAAAACAATCAATCCTATAAATGATTGCACTTCTGGCAAGTCTTTTGTCTTCATAAACCTTGTACAAATTATTATATGTTGCTGCAAAGGAATTTCCAAGATATACGAAAAACTCTACAGCCGTTCGTCGCTCGAGTACGACAGAGTCAACCAAGTCATCTATATATAGACGTCATTTTCACATTGTGACGTCACAAACATGGAGCAAAACATCACATAACATTGCTATTTATAGAACATTTATACGACTAAATGTATGCCAAATTTCATTCTGATCTGAATTGTGGTTTTGAAAATATAGAGATAGTTCGCGAACTTTTTGATCACCCCTCGTAATTACTGTCCGTTATCTTCATATTTCATTTCAAAAGATTTTCAATTTATTTTATTTGGATTCATTTAGAAAAATACAATTTCTCCTCCTCTATTTAACAATGATCAGTGTCACATGTGCGATTTCCGTATCAAATAAAAACAAATCTGTATTTAAAAAAGGCAACAAAAAATAAAGCAACTGTATGGGGAAAAATTAAGACAACCTTGTACATTGGAGAATGATTTGAATTTTAATCTTTATTTCTCTTACATTAATTATAACTTATGTACCAGTTAATTTCATTAATATTTTGGTCGGGTGAAACGAGAGTTAAAGGAAATCGGGCAAATTAGATAATGTTCTAAAAGTAAATCTTAATACTTATAGTATTAAATATTTTCTATAACCTAATAATTTATCTATTTTAAACTTATTATTGCTTACATGTATATACTTGTAAGAATCCTCATTTTTTATTTTAGCTATTTTGGCCCGAAAAAAGAAAAAGATGTTTCCCTTTAAGGTGGGCGACAAAAAGCTCATCTCTGATTGCTTCCGTGAGACCAGTTGTAAACTTAGTGATAATTTAACAATCAAGAAGAACCCAAATTATCATTGGTATTTGACTTGCCTACAAAATCCAGTTCCCGAATTTCTATGGAGTGATGTTACTATTATAGGGTAAAGTAATTAACAACAGTAACTTTGATTAGTTATTATGCATGATGTTTCGTATTTTCATCGACGATTTATAAATTTACTCAGTAATTCTATATTTTCGAGTGATTTTTCGTTCATTAAAACATTCTGATTTTCATGCAATTTTAAAACTTTTCATAAAGGGAACTGAACTTGAATTATTATCAGCTTAATATCAAGTTTGTAAATATATGTAAACCCATGGTTAGATCACAGAATAAAGCAAAGTACCCGAGATCAAAACATACTATTTCCTCAACACTATATAATTTCCTATCTTTCTCAAGGACGCCAGATGTAGATTTAATTAATTTTATCAAATTATGTAGGGAAGGCCTTAAATACTTTATATTGATTTATATTCAAGTACATTAAGATTCAAAACTTTCCATTTTATGGTGAACTTCTTTAAAATCTTCTTAGTAACAAGATGACAAACACTATGAAAACTATAATACGAAGACGCATATAAACTAGGGAGGGCAATCTAATACAGAATTGCTAATCGGTTAACCACAAGACGTTCCGACCGATTACTCAGTTAATCGTATCAAAATACACATTTTCCTAATATTTTATATTTTAAGTAAACTCTAGTTATATACACACGAAAACTGAAAATGACTTTCGTAAAATTCTGTTAATGCTTGATTAGAACGATATATATTATATTTGATTTCAATTTCGAAAGGCAAGAAGAAATAAGGAAACCATGACACAGTGACATCTCTTAGATATCAAAGAAATTGATAAATAAATGTTACAACACAAGGTCATTGTGCATTGTCACCATAAACGGAAACTGAGTCTGAACTGTCACTTAATTTACAATGTTTACTTTAAAATATAATTTGACAGATAACTGGTCTGCAATGATAGACGGGGTAAGATACACGTTGCAATCATTTAAATCATTTTGCAGAACTCAACAAAGATTCAATTAATATCTTAAAAGAAATTTAGGACAGGTTGCGTAACGACATCGTGTTTAAACAGCAATTAACACTTCGCAAAGTGACCAATTACCCCAACGATTTCAATCTTGAGAACCTCCAAATCAGCCGAATTAAACGTCATACTTTATCAATATTCAGAGGGTTTTTTAACATTGTAAATCGGGTTTTAAGAAAATTTACACGTATTTTAATATTTTCCAACTAACCGATTACAGATTTTCTAACCGATTATCATCGTTCCGACCGAGTAACCAGTTAACCGATTACAAATTGCCATCTCTAGCCATTATAAGGCGTCAGTATTTTTTAAAACTCATCTTTTGCAGTATCATTGCAGCCCGGAGGACCGGGCTGCTCTATACATATAAGTTTAAGTGTTGGTATATGGGGATTGAGGTGGGAGAAGTTATTCAGAATTAAAGGTTTTCTAAACATTAAAAAGATTGTTAATCAGAATGTTCTTTCCCTTTATAAATTACGAGATACACAATATATTTACTTCCATAAAGTGAATCTGTTAAAATATATATGTTTTTCATATTTAATATATAAAGTTGCTTATCATTTACTATCGAAAAAAGGACAGGTCCCTTTTTTTAGAACATCGAATTTTACTTATCGCATAAAAACGTAAAAAAGTACTTTACACAGTTCGTGTTTTATATTCTTTAAGTGAAAGACATTTTTGAAAATAGGTGATGCATGTGTCTGGTTTCAAATTATATTTTATGCAGCCAACATTTACTTGAGGAATTGACAAAGTTTAAAAGGGTATCGTTTTTGTTCGATTTTCATCCGACTATAAGTTTTCAAAATATTCTCGACTATCGTCTCCATCATTTAGACGCATGCCTTTTTCACACATATCGAAGCGGTTTGATGATCAAGACTCATTTCCATTGTTTACTTTATTTATTTCCCGGGCGACAATTGATGGTTACATCAATGTTTTCTTGTGGTTATTGATATACCTGTGATTTGCCTTTTTAATTATAAAACTTATCTGCTTTTGACCATGTCCAAATCTGAAAAAAAAACCTAAGAGAGGGAACGCTGAAAAAAGCTTCTTTTATTTACTTTTATTAGAACAATCGGTGAAGGTGAATTCGGCATTGTGAATGAAGGCAAATTGACTCTTAACAGAAATTTGAAACAGCAAGTCGATATTGCAGTGAAGGTATGCAATGCTCAGGGCGTTATCTAGTAAATTTATTGTTAACCCAAATTTTCATTTTTAGAAAATATACTGGTACATGTAGGCTGGTATATATATTTTTATTTATTTAAAAAAAAATAATTCTGATAATTTATTTTGCAGGAACTGAAATTAGAAAATGGAAAGGATTGCCTATCGAGCTTTTATCTTGAAGCCTCCACGTTATGGTGACAATTATTTTTAATGAATGATATACCTTTCATTTTCGTGATCGGCTTTGGCCGATCACAGTTGATTGTGAATCATCTGGAAATGTAACCATTAGCATACACAATACGCGACTGACTACTATCTTAACTAGGCACTGACTGTTTCATATAAATTTATCATAACGCATTAATTACTAAAGAGACTTTTTAAATTGCATTTACTTTGAAATGCAAACACTTATACGGTTACATGGTTTATAAACTTACGTTTTCTTTATAAGACATAGTACGTCCTTTCGAGTGAAGTTTATTCGTCCATTTGTGTTTTTGATAAGTCTAACTCGTACATAAGTTTATTCGTTTATTAGATAATTTACTGTTTTGTAAATTCTATGCCATAACGTAGGGCTCAAGTTTGACTCCTGAACTTTAACTTGTTTTTATTTATCACTACCATATGATCTATCGTCGCCTGCGTGGCGCAGTGGTTAGAGAGTTTGCTCTAGAGTCGCGGAGTAAGGAGCTAATCCTTATGTCGCGGGTTCGAATGGAGACCGGTCCTTCGGATGAAACCGTATAAACCGAGGCCCCGTGTCGCAGTAGGTGTTGGCACGAAAAAGATCCCTAACTGTGCCGAGTATAGGTTTAAATTTGCAGCCCTCCACCGGCAAGTGGTGGCGTCCCTATATGAGTAAAAAATTCTCGAGAGGGACGTTAAACAACAAACAAGCAAAATCATATGATCTATCGATATACCCCATCTCTTATGTGATAAAACATAATCTATAATATTGACTAAAAGTTACGGCTAATGTTTTCAACGGGTCAGCTGACGTGAACAAATCTTTATTAAATGTAGTAAGACTAGTAGATATATAGATGTAAAATTCTGGTGACTTGGTCTTAAACACTAAGAATTAAATATAACGTCCATTTAGCCTTTTCTACGGCATCCACATATTTTCCTTTAATACCAACTTTAAAGTAATGTTTGTTTGCCCTCTCCCGACGCAGAATGAAAAAATTGGGCCGGTAGGTAGGTGGGAAATTTTTCCCCCCAAAATTCAACATCAATGCTGTATTTTCAAAATTTATTTATAGTTATGCATAAAAAAATAATTGTTTCCTGGAGGTTAAAAAAAGTTTTGAGTCTGGCCTTTTAACCAGTCGATCGGGAGAAGGCAAACAATTTTTAAAAGATGATCTTACTAGTTGATTACCGAATTTAATATTTCATAAAAGAAATGGTAGAATCTTACAAATATGTCGAAAGTGATTAATGTTTTTATTTTTGATGCTTCTTCCCTTTTGTTTTACAGCGGATTAAATCATCAAAATATAGTTAAGTGCTATGGTATAGCAAAAAACCCTAAGAGGATGGGAATTATATTAGAGTTAATGGATACGAACTTAAAGTCATATCTTCAAGCTTTTACAGATGTAAGTATCAAAGCCTTTTTTAAAGTCTTTTTTCTTTCAGGTCATACATTTGTTGTTTTTCTCTCTGAAAAGGCATAGATATACATGTACACTTACACAATTAGAACATAAAATATAAGATTTTACTTGCTGAATCAACTCATTGCCTCAACATTCATTTTCATATTCTCTGAAAAGAATTGTATCGACAAAAATGCAAATACATGATTGATATTTCCTGATGTTATCATCAAATTCTTAGGTTTTGGACAATACAAATACAGAAATCTTTATAATGATGTCAGAATCTTTTTCCAAAGCTTTTAGCAATGAATTGTCAAATACATGTATGTATGAAAGATGACTGAAATGAAATTAATGAAAATCATCTTCTAACAAAGCAGCAGGGTGTATTGTTTTTATTCCAATCCTGGTCTGTTCGTCTGTCACTCATTCTTCTTCCTGTAATTCCTCTTGCAATTTAAGCAGTAACTAAATCATCTTTTGGAATATATAAGATGACAAGTGGCATCCTGTATGTGCAGTAAAGTTTCTGAGTTTTCATCTTTATCGTGGTGGCCCAATGGGAGTTGAAACTGATGGTTTTTTTCCTTAAAAAAATCCCCTGTTCTCGATACTCTTCTTCATTTTATCCTTGGCCATCTCATCTTTTCCAATATCCAAGATGATTGGTGGTGTTCTGTAGATGTGCAATAAGGCTTCGGAATTTTAATTTTAATCCTAGGGGTCAAATAGAGGTTGAAAATGACCCTTTTCCACATAAACCTGGTTCCAAGAACTCCTCATATATATTTAACCCAGTAGCCAAATCATCTTTTGCAAGGTGATTGGGGATGTTCTGTAGATGTGTAATAAAGTTATGGAATTTTCCTTTTCACCCTGGGGGTCATATGGAGGTTGAAAACACATTTTTTCGTGATAGAAACCTGGTTTTAAGAAATGCTCATATATTTTACCCAGTAGTCAAATCATCTTTGGCAAGATGATTGAAGGAGTTCTGCTGATTTGTAATAAGGTTTCGAAATTTTCATTTTCTCTCTTTTAGTCAAATGGGGGTCGAAAAATGAAGTTTTAAAGTTCCAATTTAGGCTGATTTTTCTCTTTTTCTTGACAGAAAATCATTTTTGTGAAACCCCCTCTTTTAAAAATCAGAAATTCATTCATCATAATTCTTAATTTCAGATCAGTAATGGGTTTATTATATGAAATAACTAACATAAGAGGCCCATGGTCCTATGCTCACATGTGCATTTTATGCTCAGTTTGATACATGCATACGAGAACTGTCCCAAAAAGTCGTTATAACTTTGTTAACAATCAACCAATCCTAACCAAATTTTGCATGACTTTAATTTATGATGTGTTTTTTTTAAAAAAATAAATATCATTAATCGAAATAAATTATGTTTGTAGGTTCACAAACAAAATCCGGGATAATTTACATATTATTGCAAATGCATTTGCTTCTCTAATAATATGTGATAATTTGTAAAACATCAAATTCTAATTCATATCAGTTAAAATCAGAAAAAGAATTTGTGTAATTTTTTCAAATGTTCAAGTAACTGGCTTCAGAAACGGATCACTGATGACGTAGTTTTCAAAGACTACTCTGAATTTAGTACTGGGTATGCCGCAAATGACGTCGTCAAACGAATTCCCGGTGCACGTGGATGTTATAAAATATTGTTTTGTTTTGAATATGGTTTAAACCCCTCAGAGACAAAAAAAGATAAAGAAATAAGATAACACTCTAGAAGATAAGCAAAAAAATTGTATATGGCATAAGAGATGATAGTTCAATGATAGTTTAACCTCAGCATCGAAAACAGAAAGGCTTAGCAATAATAATAATTGTTAAATTCAGATTTATGGGTCAGATTCGACGTTAAACGTTTTTTTTCTGCTTTTTGTATGCGACCTGCAAGGACTATATGAAGGACAGTGGTGAAATTTAATGCGTCCTTGAGTAAAGATTACTTTGTTAATGTATTTGAAATATCAAAGAGAGACCACGATACGCGTGTTGCGCACAAGGATCAGTATTTTAAAAAGATTGATCATGACTTTATAAGACGTATAACTTGCGTTTGCTTTCATGCGCCGACCTACATTTTTTTTTACTGTGCCAGGAAAAGAAAGTTATGTTATGTTATGTCAAGTTCTGTTAGCAAGAGAAATTAAATCGTTTACCCTGTCTACGACTTTTTGGGACAACCCTCGTGCATACATAAAAAAAATTCAGAATAACATGGCTTCATTGCAATCAAACTACAAGGGAGCTACCGTACATTTAGAAGCAAAAACTCATGCATTTAATTTATTGATTTTGTAGAGTACAAACTCGACTTTACTCACTGTGGATGCAGGGATCAAATTAGCATCAGATATTTGCACTGCCTGTGTTTACCTAGAAAATAACAAATTTGTTCACAGGTAAACACATACATTTTCATACATATATATATTTTTAAAAAGGTTTATTTGTGATTAAACATTTTCTCTCTTTCTTTGTTAATTCTGATATTTAGATTGCTAGACATAATTTTACCACGAAGCAGGGACAGTAATATAGTGTATGACATTATATATTTAATAGGAAAGCTGTTACTTTACACAGCACTATCAAACCCCCTGCTGAACATTTTTAATAGATAGATAACATAATAAATAATTATCCTCCAAGAGCGCAGGGGGATTTCAAGAACTTGAATCTGCTCTATCTGAATACGCTTGCATACTTATATAATATTCGTTGCTCTGATGTTTTGAGAAAAAAAATTTCCCCATTTCAAAATTTTGATTCCAAATGTTGGCCCTTTCTCACTCCCGAGGCCCTTGAGTTGAACAATCTTGAATACTTGTATACTTGCATAATAATGGGATTAAAAAGAATTTTAAAAATGTTTTTGTAAATATCCCTGTGTGTAATACCGTAGCCTTGGAGATCATGATTTGGATAATTATAGCGAGCGAAGCGGCGCTCGCACTCCGAGCTCTTAAAGCAATGCCTGTGTGTCCCATCCTGAACAGCTTAGTCGATGCAAGACCATTCCACCACTCGGAAACAGCGATCTTGATGTGGTACCTCTAGATGTCACGACACACATAACTCGACCGAGATCAAAGAGGAGAACTATTTATCTGTGGAAGAAAGCAACGGCATCGGAGATGAGCTTTTAAGCCAAGTAGATACATTAACGCACACCATCTTTAAAGATATCAAGAACATATTGGGGTACATCAAAGAACTCATATTAGGAGCTGTAAAACATCATGTACCATCCCGTCGCACACTGGCTAAGCATTCTTCCCCATGGATGACCTCTGAGCTGAGACGTCTTTACAACAGGAAGCAAAAAGCTTATGTTCGTGCTATGCACAGCAATGACCCAACAGCTATGAGGCGATACAAACTAAGGCACTCAAGGGCAACTACAGAGGGAATCTAAGAAAGCACAATAAGCTTATTTGGAGGATGTTGTCAGCGACGACCTACGTACAAACCCAAAAGCGCTTGGATCAAAGAAACGTGAAAAACATGCAGTATATTCTCCAAAGGATCGGGTGGCCATCGGAAAGTTTTATGCCGAAAACGGACCTGTCGCTACAATAAGAAAATTTAGTCAAGACTTTCCAGCGTTGTCGGACAGCACTGTTCGTGGAATGAGAAAAAAAATACCAGGAATCTTAGCCTCACGAAAACGAAAGCTCGACGTTGATGAAACCGATACTGATGTAACAGAAATTCTTCCTAAAAAACGTGGACGACCATTCTTAATTGATAATGAACTGGATAGCAAATTACAAAAATATCTGTATGTTCTGAAAGAAAACGGCGCAGTTATTAATACACAGATTGTTATTGCGGCAGGAAAGGGGATTATAACTGGAACTGATAAAACTTTACTTTCCGAGAAATGATGGGCATCTAAAATTAACTAAGAGTTGGGCTAAATCACTTTTACAGTGAATGAATTTTGTGAAGCACCGTGGTTCAACTACATGTAAGAAGATAAAGTTGAAAATTTTGAAGAATTGAAACCAGAATTTCTTGAACGCATTAAAAAATCCGTGACAGAGTATGAAATTCCCTCTGGCTTAATTGTTAACTGGGACCACGCTGGATTGAACATTGTGCCCGTGTCAAACTGGACAATGGCCTCGGAGGGATCAAAGCGTGTCGAAATCGCGGGGCTTGGGGACAAACGCCAGATCACGGCCGTCTCCGCAAGGACACTCTCGGGTATTCTTTGTTTCCTTATTTATAGGTATGCAATTAACGCTAATGATTATTGGCTTTGATTCATTACGCTTAAAATGATGTATTCACAATTAACATTTGATTTATACGTTCAATAATGAATTAACATTTGATCTACACCAATAATGAAAGTGAAGTTTATTTTAATTTTAGGCAATTTCCTTCCACCACAAGTAATCTATGCTGGGAAAACGGAGAAATGTCACCCAACTTACAAGTTTCCCGCTGACTGGCACATAACCCACTCGGTGAACCATTGGGCAAACACTGACACACAGATGGAGTATGTGAAAAAAAATTATATTGCAAAACATTTCGGAAATTAAACGAAAAGAAAATCTTCCCGAAGGACAAAAAGCTCTTTGTATTTTTGATGTTTTTAAAGCACAAATGAGAGAAAAATTCTTTGAATTTTTGTCAGAAAGCAACAATAAAGTTGTCTATGTACTGGCGTGTTGCACCGACCGATTACACCCTCTCAATTCGAGTGTTCAAAAAGCAGTGAAAAATCAGATAAGAAAATCTTTTGAAGATTGGTATTCCAATCAAATTGTCACACAATTAAATGATGGCAAAGACTCTGGGGTAACTCCTGTGGATCTGACGATGTCTAAATTAAAACCCCTGTCTGCGAAGTGGTTGGTATAAATGCATCAACACATCACGAATTCGAGTGCTAGTAAAGCTTCTATCCTTCATGAGCAGTTTCAGTCTGTCGATGCCTAGGAGGATCTCAGTGCCATGCCTGATCTAGGATCTACGACCAAGCCCTTTCCCTACTATGGACAACGTTTCCATTTGTGATAAACCATCAAACTACAGGCCGTTATCCCTAACATCGATAGCCTGCAAGCTCCTGGAACATGTCGTACACAGTACCGTTATGGACAGCTTTGATCGGAAGGGCATCCTATGCGATGTGCAACATGGCTTTCGTGTCAGCCGATCATATGAGACACAACTTATCATAACATTGGACCAGATAGCCAGGAAAATGGACCAGAGGTACCAGATAGATATCATACTCCTGGACTTTTCAAAGGCTTTTGATAAAGTTCCTCACTAACGTCTTCTACTGAAGTTGGAGCAATACGGAGTGTCGGGCACTGCCCTAGGACTGATTAAGGACTTCCTAAGTCATAGATTCCAATCAGTGGTTCTGGAGGGGCATAAATCTTCACCGCTGAATGTCCTCTTCGGGGTACAACACGGAACCGTCTTTGGACCGCTCCTATATCTAGTCTACATTAATGACCTACCGAGTGCACCAATTCTGACGCAGATGATTGCCTTATCTGTTGTCAGATCCGAAACCAGAGAGATTTAGCCAAGTTACAGGAAAATCTCACAAGAACCAGAGGTAGCCATAGATACAGACAGCCTTGTGCCACAAAGGAGGTTTCCAAGAATTCCTATTTCCCACGATCGGTAAGGGACTGCAATCGTCTGCCTGAGACAGTGACAGCAGCACCTAATATTGAGGATTCAGAGATTCAGAATCGGACTAGCCAGTGTCCCCTTGACCCAGCTGCAACCCTAGCAGACACACTGTTAAATAGTTTTATCTGTTTAAAAAAAAGGAAACCTCCTGTTTTTCACCGAGCCGGAGTGTTCATCACTCCAGTATTAGAGGTCAATTCCTTACCGTAAGAAAGAAGAGAAATACGGATTTTTTTTTCTGTAGTAACCTCTGGACCCACAATGCAACGCAAATGCATCTCGCTGCCAACTTCGTTCTTGTGGTCACAATTCAAGTTCGCCAAATAAAAAAAACTCCCTTGATTTAATTAATTTTGAAGATAAATTAGTTGATTTGACGTTCTTTGTTAAAATTTGCACTTTTCAGACTTCGTTTTAGTAATGCAAGTAACATACATGTACGACGCCAGTTGACGTCACAGTCTAGATGTTCCAAATGTCTCGTGCGGTTTGAAGAGGCATATCTAGGTTAAAACCGAGTAGTCGCATCTGCGCTCGCCCTAACGGTCGCAACGTCAACATTTTAAACTTAAATCCATTCAGTAGCTTTCACAAAGGTTTTGTCATTTCTGATCCAGTGGTTCCCTAGAAGATTTTTAAAAAGGCGCCATTTTCACTATTTCTTAATTATGTGACCAAAGAAGGAAAAATTCTGGTTCTGGAGAAGTTGAAAGTGTAAAATAAAAGACAGACGGACAGCAGAGAAATAGACAACGGAAAACAGATGATAAAATAAGCAAAATTAAGCATAGACATATACCAAGCACGGCGATCTTAATACGCATATGTATAATAAACGAATTCAAAAGTATGACTGAAAAGAAATGTCAAAAACAGCATCGATGTTTTGTCTCTTACGTGTAAATATAGAAACTACTTAGTTGAAATATAATTATCTTAATATCATTCAAGGGACATCGCGGCTAGAAACTGTCTAGTCAAGTCAGTAAGACCCGATGTCGTTGTAAAAATAGGTGACTTTGGAATGGCAAGAAGAACCTCTGTGTAAGTAATATTTAATTTGCAATTTTTATTCGAATTTTCAATACATCAAACAACAGAGTTTTTTCTCTCTCTCTTCTCTCTCTCTCTCTCTCTAAGCGGTGATATTTTTTCATTATTTTTTCAAGTATGAAACCTTTTTTTTCATACCATTCGCTCACACTTTCTCAGTCACACTCATTCATTTTGGTAAGTGGGAGCGTGAGAGAAGTGAGAGAAAAAAATAAATCAATATAAATGCACTAAATTAAGAAAAGCCTAACATATTATTAAGGAATCACTGCCTAGTTAGTAGAGTATGCCAGGGCATCAACGATAGTTGGAAACGTGGGATAATTTGCATAACGGGCGAAGCCCGTTATGCATAAATTATCCCACGTTTCCAACTATCGTTGATGTCCCTGGCATACTCTACTAACTAGACAGTGATTCCTTATATTTCCATTGCATTGTGAAATAAAATTGTAAATTTAGATTTTAAAAATGTAGACTAATAGATTTAAATAACACGAGGTCTCCCATGTCAATTGAATAGTCCCCGCCCAGTGAGGTCAAACACAAAGACAGCCGCAAGAGATTTACAGCATATTAGGCCTTCTTAGCTCCTGACCTTTCGCTTGGCGAAATTTGCATTCCGGTGGAATGATCAAGAAATCAAGTCAACTAACTTTCAAAGAGTTATCACAGAGAAAACAAATAGAAATGGAAATATTAACAGATTATAAGTTATTTAATATTGTAAAATAAACATTTCACCTTTTGACAGGTATTATTATTAAACTTTTACATTTCCGAATTCTGGCTTGCAATATATTTTTCAACCCTATATTTATTGTACAAGTGAAAGAAAAGTTCCATGAGGCTTGGCAGTTTGTCTTTTTTAGACAAGAAAAATTATATTGTTTTGTATACAATCAGAAAATTTACAACTCTATTAACCTTAGAGAAGGGAAATTCACCTAATAAAATGTTAATTACATTAAGGTATTCAATGTATAAAGAAGGAATTTTGAACAATTTCGAATCATCTAAAACTAGTTGAAAATACATTGCTAGATAACGATGAAAGTGAAATGAGCCAAATTCACATGACAGATAACAAATAAGAAGCTGATCATTTTGCACCTGAAAAGTTTTTGAAGAGTTATCTGCCCTTGATGAAAAGAAGAAATTTTTTATTTTGTCAAAATATCTGTGGTAAATGATTAATTTTATTTCATATTTTAATAAAAAGAGAGTTTACGCATATTTTCACCAAGAGATTTGTATGAAATTCACATTACTTTTTACAATATCTTAATAAAACATGCACTGCCCATAGACGTCAATGTAAAATTTAATGTGCAATTAATTGGACAGTAATTAAAATTTTGTAAATTCATTTGGTGGGGTATGTTTATTGCGTAACACCTTCAAAATGTTACCATGATTAATCGTTTCGGACCATTCACTTATTAGATACAAAATATGGTCGTTATACATTGAATACCTTAAACCCAATTCTTTTTGCTAATTTATTTTGAGAAACGTAGTTTCTGATGAGATATGCCGTAAGCAAGCCAAAAACTTTGATGTTGACCTGATATCATCTTCAGAGCCATTCCTATCAAAGATGTTGGACCAAGATCTGATTTATTGGACTTTTGATCTGTAGTATTTGTATAATTAAATATTAATAAGGAGATGACAAATACAATTTTCTTTAGATCGGAGTACTATAAAAAAGAAGGAACAGCCATGCTTCCCGTGCGATGGCTTCCACCTGAAGCTTTATCTGGAGTATTTACCTCAAAATCAGATGTCTGGTGAGTTAATGAACACTTACTTTTGTATTTATTTTAGCGCTTGCGTTTGTTTAGCTCTATTTTGGCTTAATTTAATCAGTTAATTTCTGTTCAACGTTTTTGTTGTTTGATTAGATTTTTGAGCTTGATTTTTGTTAGTTATCTTAACATTTCATTTTATGTAAAAAGCGGTCCAAGATTTTATCTAAGCTGACGTATTTCTGTTAAAATGTTTTTTTTTTGTCCGAGGGGGATAGTTCACAAAACAATAAAAAATTAATCTTATGCAGAAAACATTTCACTCAATTTTTAGCTCTACTGGTCAGAGACTAGAAGAGCTTATGCGATAGTAAGGTGTTCATCGTCCGTCCGTCTGTCTGTCTGTCTGTCCGTCCGTCTGTCTGTAAACAATTATTCAACATGCTACTCCTCCTACAGTTTTAGTCTGATTTCAATATAACTTGGCACACAAGTAGAATACACTAAGATACATAATTTAGTGCATCGGTTTTTTAATTTCGATGAACGGTGTTGCCATGGTTACTAAAAATATAAATTTCTTGAAATTCCTTTTAAACGCTACTCTTCCTACAGTTTTGGTCTGATTTCAATATAACTTGGCACACAAGTAGACTGTACAATGATACATAATTTAGTGCATCGATTTTTGATTTCAATGAACGGCGTTGCCATGGTTACTAAATAAAGAAATTTCTGTGAAATTCCTTTAAAACGCTACTCCTCCTACAGTTTTGATTTGATTTTAATATAACTTGGCACACAAGTGGAATTCACTTAGATATATTATTTAGTGCAGGTTTTCTGATTTCGATGAAGATGTTGCCATGGTTACTTAAAATAGAAATTTCTGTGAAATTCCTTTAAAACGCTACTCCTCCTACAGGTTTGGTCTAATTTCAGTATAGCGTGGCACAAAAGTAGACTACACTAAGATACATAATTTTGTACTTCGGTTTTTGATTTCGGATGAACGGTGTTGCCATGGTTACTAAAAATAGAAATTTCTATGAAATTTCTTTCAGAACGCTACTCCTGCTACAGTTTTGGTCTGCTTTCAATATAACTTGGCACACAAGTAATCTGTACAATGATACATAATTTAGTGCATCGGTTTTTGATTTCAATGAACAGTGTTGCAATGGTTACTAAATATTGAATATTTTTCTGTGAAATTCCTTTAAAATGCTACTCCTCCTTGAGTTTTGGTTTGATTTGAATATAACTTGGCACACAAATGGACTTCACTTAGATACATAATTTAATGCATCGGTTTCTGATTTCGATGAACGGTGTTGCCATGGTTACTAAAAATAGAAATTTCTGTGAAATTCCTTTAAAACACTACTCCACCAACAGTTTTGGTCTGATTTTAATATAAATTGGCATACAAGTAGATTACACTATGATACATTATTTAGTGCATCGTTTTTCGATTTCGATGAATGTTGTTGCCATAGTTACTAGTTACTTTAAAACCCTACTCCTGCTACAGTTTTGGTCTGCTTTCAATAGAACTTGGCACAGAAGTAGACTACATTAAGATACATAATTCTATTTATTGTTGCATGTTGCAAAGTTTCAAATCCAAGTGCTACTTTTTCTTTGTTATACGTACAGACCAGTAGAGCTTCAGTCTCATCAGAGACTTCTGGTTTATATGTTGGGTTTTATCGTTTCTTCGATAAAAGGTAATTGTAGTTGTTTTTCTATGGCACTGACTGTTAACCGCCGAGTTCTCCATTGTTTACGTGCGTGTCTGAGTATGGACACTAAATAGTTCGCCAGAGAAACTAGCTTCCATTCGTACTCCACTTTTCTTATTAAAGTCTGTAAGTCCATCTTTCTGGTTATCAAATTTTTGAATTCTGTAAAATCCCCTGTCCAAATTTAGTTAAATTTGATATAAATAATTCTGCAGAAATTTCTTTTTTTAACAGAGAGTTTTGTTTTCAAATGGGAAAAGAGATAAACTAAGGCTTTAGCAATTTCAAAATCGCTCCTGAAAAATGAACAAGAAGGAAAAAAAACAACATATAAATTTCTTTAACTAATGTGATTAATTTAAGTTTGTTTAATCAGGGCTGCTAAGTCTAGTTGAAAAATCAAGTATTACATAAGTATTCAATCATATGCGGGATTTTTAAAAAAAAAATTAATTCCTTCTTAAGACGAGCTATGCAGCATTTAGAAAATCCATAAGCAAGATTACTCATGAATTGTAGATTAAAGTTTGTTCAAAACAATATTTGGTAGTATGGCTGTGCCACAGTTGGAGATGTTTTTAATATAAACATGTAGAAAACAGTGTTTCAAATTCTAATATCAATTTCTAAGCATCCCCTTGAAGTGTTGAATATATGCAGGTAATGGTCGCTAATATGCAATTGGGCTGCTTGCAATTTTGATAACAAGCATCGTTATACAGTTTTTAAAAGTTTATAAAAATTGTGTTTGAGACACTCTGATGTATGTGGTATCATTAATGAATAAGATGAGAATAATGAACAGTGATCAATCTCAAAAAATGTACAAACAATACAAATCTGTGAACAGGGAAGAAGGTATACATGTATACGTTTAAGAGATGAATTTAATTTTTGAGAATTCATGAGGACATGAACTACGACGCTTCACGCCTGCATATTTCATGAAGTGCGATAGAGCTTCATGATAAATATGAAGGCGTGAAGCGTTGTAGTTCATGTACCTCATGAATTCTCAAAAATTAAATTCATCTCTTATATATACATTATTTTTCTAATGACTTGCCACATATTTATGTCATTCGACGATCGTTTTTGCAAAAAAAAAAGGTTGCACTATTTTTTGACTTTAATCACATCACAATGAAAATATTCTTACTCATCCCATGGTAGTTCATGAGAATATGAACTTTTTCTAATTTGCAAAGAATCTTAAGGAAAAATATTTGGAAATGTAAATAAATTTGACATATGACTCAGATAATCCTTTTGTCCATTGGTCCATTGTTGATTGTTTTAGGGCATTCGGAGTTCTTGTTTGGGAAATATTTACCGGCGGTTGTTTGCCCTATCCCGGGATGTCTATATCTGAGGTCTTCATAGTTATTAAACAAGGAGGAAACATGGCAGCTTACAGACCAACTAAATGCCCAGATGATGTGTAAGTAGATAAAAAAAATGTACGTTTAATCTAATTAATATTTCAATAAACCACCCCCCCCCCACATTTACTCTGATACTCAATCTTTTGAATGTTTAAAATTTCCAGTTGGAGAATCCTTACAAAATGCTGGAGTTACAACTCTGAGGAGAGACCGTCATTTACGGAACTTGAAACTATTCTGAAACAGGTATTTTTCCATAATGATACTTTTTACACTATGCTGAACGATAAATATGTGTTTCAGTTAATTCTAAAAGAATGTTATGTAGCATAAAATTAATATGCTAAACATTTACAGAAAGTTAAATCGTCAGTAGTAGTGGGAATTAACAAAAACAGCTTTCCTTATGTATGAAATATATGGAGATAACGAACAGTATTCAAGCTCAAAAGTCCATTAATCAATACAAAATAGGAGCAGAGCAAACACGGACCTCCAAACATCAGAGGTGGGATCAGGTGCCATGGAGGAGTGAGCATCCCCTGCCGACCGGTCACACCCGCCGTGTGCTCCTTGTCATGATCGGGAAATAACGGAAATATAAGTTGCAAACAGTAAACCAATAGTTTCTTGGCATATTTTATTGTAAAATCTGTAATTTGAAAAAAAGAAAGAAATAAATACGTTTGTGACTACTTCTGAAGATTCTTTCTTCTTTCATTGGCATCCCACAATCACAAATGTGTTCAGATGTGTATTATAGTCGTATATAAGTTCTGTGAAAATTTCCTTTGTTTGAATGTTTGAACAGAAATGCTTATTTCAAAAGAAAAAATTATCAGTTTTCTATGTAATTTTATTAATTTTGTCTTACATAATATGGTGAATTTTGATATTTAAAAATAAATTTTATTTTAAAAATACGTTTTATATTTTAAAAAATGATTAAAAGAAAATTCCTTTGTTCAGAATAAATCTAAACAAACATATTTAGTTTTACAAAATCTTGAAAACAGTCAATTTAAACCACTGGATAATTTTTTTATATCTCAATTTTATTAAATTATTTTTCAGAGAGGAAGAGGCTTGCCATCCTTGCATACACAGGGAAATGATAAGAATGCTTTAATTACCCAAAGCTATTTAGAAGAGGAGAGTGAATGTCTTCTATGTCAATAAATCAATGCTGTTTCTATTCGTTTGCTAATTTTGATTGACAAATTCAATTCATTACAATTTTAAACATTTAAATAGGAAAAGTAAAAATATTTCTTAATTTAAGCCAAGATGCTACATGTTATTAAACAAAATACTGTTTTAAGATTAAGAAGTAGCACTGCTGGAGACTGTGTCAAATCGAAACGAAAATAAGAAGCTCGTGGGCCACAACGCTCACCTTAGAAACCATCGCTTTGCTGTTCTTCAGAGGAAGGTTTTAAAAAGATTTTATTTTGTCCTATGAAAATTTAATATCAATATAATTAAAATGGCCTTGCTGTTATAATAAAAGTTTTTTTCCCTGTATACCCATTCAGTTGATCCCCGATTTAAGACAAACCATAATCCCAGGATCCATCAATTGTTAAAGAAAAATACTTGAATCCACATAACTTGGGAATCTTTGAAATTAATATAATTCGATTACGATGGCAATGCTACTTTTGAAAAGCCTTTTTTGAATTTCCTTTAATTACTCTAATGTAAATTTTTAATTCCTAATTAGCCCAATCTTAGCCACGGGAGGAGGGGTGTGTCTCACCTTAATTTGCACTACCAGAGGATGCTTGCATATTTATATTATTCATCGGTTCCCCTTTTGTTCCTATGGAAAAGACTTTTAAGCTTTTATAATTCCTGATAAATTCTGATGTAAAATTTTTATCCCCATTTGTTGCCCCTCAAAAACCAACGAGTCCTTATTTGAACAAACTTGAATCAGCACTACCTGAAGATGATAGCATCTTAATATTGCTAACGATGGTCCTGCTGTTATGATATTTAAAGAGTTTTACTCTATATTCCCATGTAAAACTTTGATTCCCTATTGTTGTCCAAATATATTCCCGGGGAGGGGGATGATTTGAACAAACTTGAATCTGCATTACCTGGGGGGGGGGGGGCTTTCTTACATATTTATAAGAAGAAAAAGGTGATGATAACTAACAGTAATCGATCTCAAAAAATCTATAAACAATACTATTCTGTGAAGAGGGCATAAAACACGGACCCCTGGAAATTTCAGAGGTGGGATCAGGTGTGTAGGAGGAGTGAGCATCCCCTGTTTACCGGTTAAACCTGCGCCGTGAGCCCTATGTATTGATCAGGCAGACAGAACATTCCGTTAAGTCAAATTCAGTATAAAAATAAAGGCCTCACAATGGGTATGAAACAAATCGGGCAAAATACGACCAAGTGATAGGTTATATTTGCTAACAAAGTTATTATAACGACCATAACGAAATGCTGACTTAAAATTTATTTATCAGAAGCCTGCCTCGGTTTAAAAATTGATCGTACTAGGAGCATGCTCTTGATACGAATTATCATGGCCCTGTTAATCTCGAAAATAAATTAGATTTTTTTTTTCTATAGTCTATACACTTTGAATAAATTTGATCCCTTATTGTGGCCAAACAATATCCACGGGACCAAGATTTGAACGAATTTTGTCTTTTCTGTTCTTGAAAAGATTTTTTTTTTAAATATGCAATCAAATTTTCATTCTTTTATTTATCTTTTATTTTTATGTCCCCTTTCCAAAGAATTTGGCACTTCATTTGAAAAAGTTTCCTTTTTACCAAAGAATGTTTTCTGGATTTATTTTTTAAAAATGGTCCAGGGTTTTTGAAGAAAAATATGTAAAATATACATACGGATGGACAGATGGTCAGCGATATAACGTAAGAAAACGGTTGATCCGAAAAAAATCACTTGAGCTTCTGCCGAGGTCCTCAGGGTTTTCTTTCAAAAATAGATTGCAAAAGTTTTCATTCTTTTTAGTTTTACACATTTCACACCATACTACAAATATTCTGAATTTGATATGCATTACTGAACAAATACACTTAAAATTTGCTTTTAGACAAAACATCGTCTTTCAAAGGAATGAAAGATAAGGTTTTTTGGATTTTTTAAAATTTCTTTTTTAAGTCGGATAAAGAATAATATTGCAAAAAAAAAAAAAAAAAAAAAAAAATTATTATGAACTAATATCAGTTTGTGACAAACCAAAAATTCTACCAAAAAGCATTTTCTATTTTTATTATTATTCAATGATGGATTGGGAGAACGAGGGGCAAAAATTAATTGTATTCACTTATGAATTTAAACTACATGTAAAAATCATTATTTCCAGAATCCTTTAAACAGTAATAAGATTTGTGTGGTATGAAAGCGAACAACTCCAATTTGACATTGAATATCAGTTATCTGGCAACATAGACCCAAAATTTAACATTGAAATTGTCAAAAAAGTATTTTGTTGTTGTTTTTTAAATTTCAAAACTTGACATACGTAAGACTTAATAATTAAACTAAAAATTGTTTACGAATTATAAAATTACGCGATATTGTGATTTGGTAGAGAATTCCTTGCTATTTTTCTTAGTTGAAGATTGACAGCAAGATGTTCAAGGGTGAACATTTTAAAAGGAAAAAAACCCAGCAGTTTTTAAATTGATTTTTTAAGGCGAAAAATAGAGAAAACGAACAGTAATCAAGCTAAAAAGTCCATTGAAACAAAAAAAATCTGGAGCAGAGAAAACACGGACCTCAGAGGTGAAACCCGGTGCCATGGAGCAGTAAGCATCTCCTGTCGACCGGTCACACCCGCCGTGTTCTCATTGTTATTATTGGGCAAACGGAAAAATCCCTAGACAATTCAGTGTTTACATAATGGCCTGACAGTAAGTATGAAAAACGTAAGTCAGCATTTGACGTAATGACTGTATTGGTTGTATTTGCTGACAAGGTCATTGTATCGGCCATAAAACTTCCGAAATGGTAACTTTAAACGATACTGTTTATATCCTTGTTTCGTCAACTTGTTTATCATTATCTTCCTTCTTTTAGAAATTGTTCATACGTAGAGCATGCTCTTGCGTATCAAATCAAATTGATGATTCGTCGTCGATATATCTAAATGTCGAGTTGAAGGCCACAGCAAGTGTTTTCTTCTTCTCATGTAGAAGTTTTTGAATATATTTTGCTTCCTATGAATGCAAAAAAAAGGTCTGCTTATAAGGGGGTGCAATTGGTACCCGTGGGAATTCCAACAAATTGTTGGAAGACCTGGTTTCCAAAAACTACATAGATATTGTCAATCAGAAACTCAAGCATCTTTTTAATTTCAACTTCAGAGTTCTTGTGTGTACAATCAGAATGTGTTTTAACAAAATAATTTTGCAAATAAACAATGACAAGATAAGTATATTTACGATCTCCATTTTTATTGCAAAAGAAGCTGTGAATGATGTCAAAAAGCCTGGACTTTAATTTATCGTGGGGAAAATCGTATAAAGCGTTGTGTTGAAAAGTCGTTCAAATACATTGTTCATTATCATAGTTAAAAAAATTCTACAAATCGCTTTGCATGCAAAAACAGAACTTGAATAATTCAAAAAATAGCAAGTTTTCGACTAACCGGTAACTCGATCAGAAAAATTCACGACTAACCGGTTACAAGAATTTATCCGATTTCCGTCCGTAGTTTTATTACGTTGCTTGGTATGCGGCTCTTAGAGTGCCCGGACGTCAAAAGGCAATTGTAGAAAAATAAAAGAAGACTTGTAAAATATTTTTTATGCCCCCGAATCGAAAGATCCCGGGGGTATATTGTTTTTGTCCTGTCTGTCTATCTGTTGTCAACTTTAACCAAGCCCCTAACTATTGTCTGTCAAAGGTTAGGCTTTAATATTTGACATAAGTGTACATTATGACAAGACATTTCCATTGGTAGAGAAATTTTTTTATCATGTGACCTCAACTGTGACCTTTGACATACATTTGAAAAACTTTAACATTGGCCATAACTATTGCACTGTAGTCTACGTCCCACTCCAGAATTGTGTTACCATCGGGGGCATAGTGTTTCACAAACACATCTTGTTTCAATATGTCATAGGTTCTCTTTGGGCAAATCTCAGGATCCATTTCATAATTTGCATTGACAAATATATATATATATATATATGAAAATTAAAAATAACAAGGCAACAATGTTAGTAAAACGTAAGCGCTTTCATTATACTTCTTCAGACGTTTTACAATTCAAAACAATTCAAACATGTGACGTTATAACGCTACCTGATGATAACGTCAACAACAATGCAATGACGTCACAATGCTTATAGAGGAAACAATTATACAGTCTAAGTAAAATTACTTTGTTCATTAATAGCGTAATAAATAATAAAGTCATGAAACAGTCTATATTAAACTATTTAAGGACGGTTTAAAAATCTTGATGAAATGTTTTTCTTTTTCCCGTCTTTCTAAAAGATTTTCTGTTTTGAGTTTATAAAAGGGATAAACTGAGAATTGTCCCTGTCCACAAACAGCAAGATGTTCACTGAGTTTTATTTTTCTGTACTCGGGTTGGTTGATATGTTGTCTATGTATGCGTATACGAGTGCGTAGTGTGGTCCCCGTTTCTCCTATGTATAATTGTCCGCATCCAGTGCATGTTATACAATAAATAACGTTTTTAGATGCACAGGTCATATCTGCATTGATAGTAAATTCTTTATTTCCGAGTGTAAAAGTACTTCCCTCTTTAATATACTGGCAGGTTCCACAACGTGAATCAGAGCATTTATTGACCACATACAAATTCCGTTGGTGAAATGTAGATTTACACAATATTCTTCGGAGGTTTTTAGGTTGTCTTTTACTGTTGATGAATTTATATTTTTCCAGTACTTTGGACATTTTCTCATCCGTCTGTAGAATGTTGTTGAGGTGACGCACTGTAGAGGTTATATTCCTGTTCTTTGGATTGTATGTAGTTACAAGCGGTAATATTGCAGAATCTGATGTGTCACTTTTTGAAGAATTAATAAGTTTATCTCTGTCGATTTCTATAGCCTTTCTGATTCCGTCCTCAATGATTCCAAGAGGATAGCATTGTTCAAGCAGATATTTTTTTAATTCATTCAGACGTTCATCTCTTTTTTTCTTGT